CACGTCAAACTGAGACATCACCACCTTTCATCCCTATCTGTATCATTATCTGCCTTCACCAGCGTGGATGTTGATGTGTCGGACAAACAACATTTGTTCTCCCAACATTAAGGACTCTGCTTGATCGTATGGTGCCAGTCCATGGGGTGGAGACGGTAAACTCAGTCCAAAGTTTCAATGGAGGCATTACCTGATTTAGGGTTAAAACTGTACTGCTGGGTGTTTTGTACGTCATCAAATGAATGTTTATTGCAAGGATTGTTTTCCTGGCCGGAGGTAAGTCCTCCTTAAAACAGACACGCCAACGTATCACTGACTGACTGACTGACTCAATCACTCACCCACTCCAGACACGCCAACGTATCACTCACTCACCAACTCAGACACGCCAACGTATCACTCACTTACCAACTTAGACACGCCAACGTATTTCTCACTCCACTCACTCCAGACACGCCAACGCACCTCTTACTGACTGACTGACTGACTGACTCAGTCAATCACTCGCTCAAACACGCCAACGCATCAGCCACTCCAGACACGCCAACGTATCACTCACTCCTCCAGAAACGCCAACGTATCACCCTCTCAGACACGCCAACGTATCACCCACTCAGACACGCCAACGTATCACTCCTCCTTACCCACTCCAGACACGCCAACGTATCACTCCACTCACTCACCCACTCAGACACCCCAATGTATCACTGACTCATTCAGAAACGCCAACGTATCACTGACTCACTCAACCACTCACCAACGTATCAATCAATCACTCACTCCACATACAAGGTTCTTTTGACTGTGGTTGGAAATCAACAAAACAACCCGGTGATCTATCCGACCGTCCATCCATAAGCAACATGGCATGCTCGTGTTGTCCACGGAGATTGTACACGTCCAAGACCTACATCGATGGGTCCCCACATACAATAACTATCTCTGTGAAATCGATTTCTTCTTACCGCTGAATGACCCGTCACTGACCGTACAAGCATTACCCAGGCCGACCTCTGAAGCGATAGACATGTATGTGTGTTAATAGTATGATGTAACGTTTTTTCCGTTTGTTTGTAGACATTGATAAATATAATTATAGTTTCAACGGTGTATTACCTATCTGTTCATTCGAAGACGAACTCATTATCATGTGTATATCTGAGGATTCTTATTCAGCCACATGTATTAACATCACAGAAATATGGAAATCGTCAAAGTAAATGCTCTGAAAGTTATCAGAAGTTTCAAACTGAAAGATAATTGCATATCTTCTTTCATTCTTTTCAATCCTGGCACTTAAATACAAATAATAACGCAGTGGAATTAGAATGTCAAACATGATTTTCAACCATGTAGAACACCATACAAGGCTTTCAACCTTGATCATATCCAAAAATATTTACATCATAAAAATAAAACAACAACAATATTTTCTGGACTCGTCAGACCGCAATGTTGACGAAAGGTGCCTTTAATATCATGAGTACACCTCATCCGCTCATCTAACTGTATGTGTTACTTATAAAAGTATACATTGATATACGTATTGTTTACCTTAAAAGTTGCATGTTGTTTTAGTCCTGTGTACATACCAACATGCCTGCTATATATTAACATGCTTTCTTTGGTACTGAGAACCCGCAGTATCATTGGTCACTTGGTTGACTTTCTCTAAAATTTCTAACCCTTGAAGATCCGGGTTAGAATTGATCTTCAGTAACCCATGCTTGTCGTAAGAGGCGACTAATGGGATCGGGTGGTCAGGCTCGCTGACTTGGTTGACACATGTCATCGGTTCCCAATTGCGCAAATCGATGCTCTTGCTGTTGATGACTGGATTGTCTGGTCCAGACACGATTTACAGACCCGCCGCCATACAGCTGGAATATTGCTGAGTGCGGCGTAAAACTAAACTCACTCTCTCACTCACTCTAAAATGTCCCGCGCATCGGCGCGTTGCCATAAATCCTGTTCGACTTTGTTGGCATGGAGTCTAGTTCTATGTGCCCCTCAGTTGCATAAAACACACTGAAAAGTGTTTTCGGGCTCGTCGCTTGTAATCATAAGAGACTTGTTGAAATTACCTTTCTTTCAGATCATATTTGAGAAAAGGGGCCGAGGTGTTTTAGCCAAACGTATATTTTTCAGCATGTTTACTGCTCCTGCTTGCCATTTTGATGACCTGTTCATCCACACCGGACACGTTTACTTGAGGGCATGTTTGTGTTTCCGTAGAGATACGATTGTATGCACTGCAGCTTTCTTCACTGTAGGGCTTTACCGCCACGCAACATATGCGCCATGCATTTATAAAGCTTGGTTTCCCTGAGTACGTATGGTGTGCGTAATTGTGTGATGAGTAGTGCGTATTACGTGTGCGTAGTTACCAATTCCAGCCAATGTACGTGTATAAAGGCTATGTGATGCGTTAAATAAAGTCTTCTTTTCCTTGAGATCGTATTGATCGCAATTGTTGTCTACAATGTTGTATTTCTCATAGAACTCTAAGAACTTAACATGATGAAGATATATATGTATTCAAATGCCAGTCCTTTCTTGTTTATCGTTTTCCTGAAGTTTCGTCGTAATTGCGTTCTAAATATTGCTTATCTTCGTAACATCCTTGTGGTCCTTCCTGGAAGCATTGTAGATGGCTGGATTGGTCAAGAAGTATCTCGGGTACCGAATTCCTTGACATTTGCAACTTGTATTGTGCAATGAAACCACGCGTCATTGGGGAAAACCCCTTGGGAAATAGATGTATTTGTAAAGTGGACCATGAGGCAATACATGAAAAATTTAGACAACTCAGCGCGATCTAAAGGATTTTATGTCGTTTCAGTATAATACTCGTTTTGGCCTGAACGAGACAGAAAGTAATGCATTATTGACGTGCTTGTTGGTAATGGATTACTTCTCACTGAAGCACATACCGTACTAATAACAGCCCACGTTAGGAAAGATGGTGTTACCGTACGCTCTAGTCCGAACATAATTCAGTATCAGCAGACACAAGGTACATGGCACTACTGGTGGCTGGGGAACTACTTAGACGTGGGGCCTGTCAAGATCCGGGTTAGAACCGGTCTTCAGTAACCCATGCTTGTCTTAAGTGGCCACTTGGTTGACACATGTCATAGTATCCCAATCGTGTAGATTGATGCACACGATGTTGATCACAGTATTGTGGTCCAGACTCGATTATTTGGTATAATACACCTACACATATTCCCAATTTTCAACCTTCCTGTGATACACCTACATATCTTCCCAGTTTTTCAACCCTCGTGTAATACACCTACACATCTTCCCAGTTTTCAGCCCTCCTGTGATACACCTACATATCTTCCCAGTTTTCAACCCTCGTGTGATACACCTACACATTTTCCAACTTTTCAACCATCGTGTGATACACCTACATATCGTCCCCAGTTTTCAACCATCCTGTGATACACCTACACATCTTTCCAAGTTTTCAACCATCCTGTGATACACCTACACATCTTCCCAGTTTTCAACTCCTGTGATACACCTACACATCTTCCCAGTTTTCAACCCTCCTGTGATACACCTACACATCTTCCCAGTTTTCAACCCTCGTGTGATACACCTACACATCTTCCCAGTTTTCAACCCTCCTGTGATACACCTACATATCTTCCCAGTTTTCAACCCTCGTGTGATACACCTACACATCTTCCCAGTTTTCAACCATCCTGTGATACACCTACACATCTTCCCAGTTTTCAACCCTCCTGTGATACACCTACATATCTTCCCAGTTTTCAACCCTCGTGTGATACACCTACATATCTTCCCAGTTTTCAACCTTCCTGTGATACACCTACACATCTTCCCAGTTTTCAACCCTCCTGTGATACACCTACATATCTTCCCAGTTTCTTTCAACCATCCTGTGATACACCTACACATCTTCCAAGTTTTCAACCCTCCTGTGATACACCTACACATCTTCCCAGTTTTCAACCTTCCTCTGATAAACCTACACATATCTTCCCAGTTTTCAACCCTCATGTGATACACCTACATATCTTCCCAGTTTTCAGCATTCCTGTGATACACCTACACATCTTCCCAGTTTTCAACCTTCCTCTGATAAACCTACATATCTTCCCAGTTTTCAACCCTCATGTGATACACCTACACATATCTTCCCAGTTTTCAGCATTCCTGTGATACACCCATATATATTCCCAGTTTTCAAACCTCCTGTGATACACTAGCTATATTCCCAGTTTTCAACCTTCCTGTGACACACCTACATATATTCACAGTTTTCAACCCTCCTGTGATACACTAGCTATATTCCCAGTTTTCAACCTTCGTGTGATACGCGTACATATATCAGTCCCAGTTTTCAACCCTCCTGTGATACACCTACATATATTCCCAGTTTCCAACCTTCCTGTGATACACTAGCTATATTCCCAGTTTTCAACCCTCCTGTGATACACTTGCACATCTTCCCAGTTTTCAACCCTCCTGTGATACACCTTCATTTATTCCCAGTTTTCAACCCTCGTGTGATACACCTAAATATATTTCCAGCTTTCAACCCTCGTGTGATACACCTACAGATATTTCCACCTTTCAACCCTCGTGTGATACACAGAGAATGCTAAACGATGTCCCGTGTAATACCATATTTATGAAACGATTGAATGGTTTGGTAACGAGCGTAAGCGTGGAAATAAACATTGTAGATTTATTAAACAGTGATCTTTTCTCAACGGGGCAGTAATAAATCTATATATATTTCCAGCTTTCAACCCTCGTGTGATACACCTTTATATTTCCAGCTTTCAACCCTCGTCAGATACACCAACATAAATTCAGAGCATTCAACCAAGGGATAATACACATACATATATTCTCAGCTTTCTCCCAAACCATGTCTCCCCCGAGATAGACTGTCTAGTTTCGTCTTCCCCGTCCAGCAGACAACGCAGCGTCACATTGACCTCCCTTAAACACCTCTCCGAGAACTGAGCTTTCTCCGAAAATCCATCTATTTATAGGTACACGTCAAGCAGGCGATTTCTGCAGATGGTACACTGAGCGTCACAAGAAAGTATCCGCGGTAAGTGTAATTTCTCCTCATACAACCCAAACATGTCTTATATCCAGCTCTGGAAATTAAGCGACTTGATAGTCCCGGTAAAGAAACCCGTGAAGATCTGGGTTAGAATTGGTCTTCAGTAACCCATGCCTGTCGTAAAGGCGACTAACGGGATCGGGTGGTCAGGCTTGCTGAAAAGCCTGGATTGTCTGGTCCAGATTCGATTATTGACCGTCGCCATATAACTGAAGTAATGCTGAGTGCGGCGTTAAACAACAAACAAACACAACAGTGACGCTGAAGTGGTGTTCGTACAACAGTACAACAGTATAAAACGGAAGTGGTTGTGTCTAAAATTAGTAACAGCGACTGTGTCTGTGTTCAGGGAGATTGCTCAGTGTTCACTCTCATGTATCGTGGTCGAACGTGACCCGTTGCCCCACGTTAGGTGAGGTGAGGTGAAATTGGGTTTTACGTCGTGCTTGAGAATATTTCGCTCATAGGACGACGTGCATGCGTGTGTATGTGTGCGGCTGTGCGGCTGCTTGTACTAGACCAGACTTCAAGCTGGTTTTATAGTGCTAACCCACTGAGATACCATGCCGCAGTGAAGCATGAATACCCCACACAGACACATTATACTGACTCCGAGCCGACCTGTCCTTGTTGTACCCATTAATGCCGATGCCAGGCAGGGACCAACAAGTACCATATTTTAACGTCTTTTGGTATGACGCGGTCGGGGATCGAACCCGCGACCTTCCGCTCTCCGGGCGGACGCTCTAACCACTACTACACGGAGGCGGTTCAAACCCACGTGAATTTGAACTATATTCTTGTGGCCCATGTTTTGATTTCAGTCGAACGTATTCAACAAAGAAATTCGCCAACCATGGACAACATTTACCCAATGAGGCATAAAAGGAAAAGCGTTGTCTACATCATCAATAACTTCATCTTTGGAAAACAAGAAAGAAAGGGAAGCGTCGTTGACGAAAAGAACTTAACCAAAACGTTTACAAATTTATCATTCGATGTACAGGCATTCAAAAATCAGACAGGAGCAGAGATGGTGAATCTGTTGGAAAACGGTAATATTTTGTTCATAAAAATAGAAGAAAACTTTTAATATGTTCAGGTTAACACTACACTACACACGTTTAATGTTCTGTAAAATTACTTTTCTGAGGACGAAAATAATTGTTTGGCACCCCACTCATCTGAAGAACTGACTAAAGAAATTTACTGTTTTAAACTATAATCTTAAAATAAGTAGGGGAACCTGAACTGTCAGTTTGGTTTGGAAGTATAAGCGTTAACATAATTTTCAAAGACAGACATATTATGAACGCACCACCATTTCTCTTTATCACCACCTCTAAACACAACGCTTTGGATGTACGTGCACAACGCAGTAGCCCCATACACGTGCGTGTGGTGTCCTTTTTGATTTGGCGGTTTTCAAGCAGACCATTAAATTTGACAATCATCTTGCATCACACAAAGTTAATGTTTGTTTCTAGTCGGGGGTTGTTTTGGGGTTTTTTAAAATGAAAATCACATCCATGCAAATTTTACGCCATACACCAATTATCTTTCAATGACTGTACACACAGCTGTGGCCATAAGGAAGTGCAAGTGGTGATGCACTCTCAAAATATTAATTATTATCATATCAACATTGATTGACTCCGATATATTCCGATAATATAATTTGTTCAATCGTAAAATACAAATGAAGTTCCCCAACTTTCTTTAAGAGTATATGACCCATGCAGGGGACTGTCACTGACATGATATTTTGGTTTCGTGTTGATTCCCAATTTGGAGCAGTAGGTTAACTCGAAATCAGTAAAAGACTGACTGACTGAGTTTGTTTTACGCCACTTTTAAGCAATATTCCAGCAACATCACGGCGGGGACACAGAAATGGGCTTCACACATTGTACCCATGTGGGATTCGAACCCGGGTCTTCGGCGTGACGAGCCAACGCTTTAACCACTAGGCTACCCACCGCCCGGAAATCAGTAAAAGAACAAACAACAACAAATTTATATGATGTAACCAAGGGCTGTGTTATTGTGTTTCCCTACATGTATGAGGTCAGGTGAAATTGGGTTTAACGTCGTGCTTGAGAATATTTCGCTCATAGGACGACGTGCATGCGTGTGTATGTGTATGTGCGGCTGCTTGTACTAGCCCAGACTTAAGCTGGTTTCATAGTGCTAGCCCATTGAGATACCACGCCGCAGTGAAGCATGAATACCCCACTCAGACACATTATACTGACTCCGAGCCGACCAGTCCTTGTTGTACCCATTAATGCCGAGCGCCAGGCAGGGACCAACAAGTACCATACTTTAACGTCTTTTGGCATGACGCGGTCGGGGATCGAACCCGCGACCTTCCGCTGTCCGGGCGGACGCTCTAACCACTACACCACGGAGGCGGTCCTTACATATATGAATGAATGATACATATATAAATAGGTGAATTACAATGGCAATACAAAATAGAGTGACAATACAGATTCCATGACAATATGATATAAAAGCAGTGGTAACAGTGTAACAGTGTAAGCTCGCTGTAGCAGTGGTCAAGCTCGCTGTAACAGTGTAACGCTGTAACAGTGGCCAAGCTCTCTGTAACAGTGGTCAAGCTCGCTGTAACAGTGGTCAAGCTCGCTGTAACAGTGGTCAAGCTCGCTGTAACAGTGGTCAAGCTCGCTGTAACAGTGATCAAGTTCGCTGTAACAGTGGTCAAGTTCGCTGTAACAGTGGTCAAGTTCGCTGTAACAGTGATCAAGCTCTGCTGTAACAGTGGTCAAGTTCGCTGTAACAGTGGTCAAGTTCGCTGTAACAGTGGTCAAGTTCGCTGTAACAGTGATCAAGCTCGCTGTAACAGTGGTCAAGTTCGCTGTAACAGTGGTCAAGCTCGCTGTAACAGTGATCAAGCTCGCTGTAACAGTGGTCAAGTTCGCTGTAACAGTGGTAGCGCTGTTACAGTGTGGTCAAGCTCGCTGTAACAGCGCTGTAACAGTGGTCAAGTTCGCTGTAACAGTGGTCAAGTTCGCTGTTACAGTGGTCAAGCTCCCTGTAACAGTGGTCAAGGTTCGCTGTTACAGTGGTCAAGTTCGCTGTAACAGTGGTCAAGTTTCGCTGTTACAGTGGTAACGCTGTAACTGGTAACAGTGGTCAAACTTCCAATGCTGAAAGCCTGTAACAGGCTAAATAAATCAGGGTTAATAGTGATCTTCCCACTTATAATAAGAGATTTAATGTGAGACTACAAAACACAAATTGTGCTTTATATACGTATATACGTACAAAAGTACGTACGTATGTACATGCATGCGCGCGCACACACACACACACACACACACACTCACCTTTAGCATTATTTCAGCAATATCACGCGGGGACACCAGCAATGGGCTTCACACATTGTACCCATGTGGGGAATCGAACCCCGGTCTTTGGCGAAGGCTTTAACCACGAGGCTACCCCACCGCCCCAGAAACAATGTAGTACACTTTGCAACACTGTGTTAGAATGTTAATAAACACTGAGCATAATATTCGAAAACAATTCATTCTCTAAAATCAACAATAAAACAGCTTATGTAAATACGTCAGTCACTTCGTGTAGAGATCTGAAACATATTTGTATTCCAGTTTCCCGAGATATTCACGAGGACACCGATTGTTTTGCCTGTGTGATCCTGTCCCACGGAGAGGAGGACAAGGTCCAAGGCACTGATGGCCCTATTGAGATCACAAAACTCTTGGCTCCATTCAAAGGAGACCGATGTCCGGCTCTGGCCGGAAAACCGAAACTATTCTTCATTCAGGTATGTATCATGTTGTGTAGTGCTGGGCCCCTATCAATAAAGTGATGGTAGGGCTATGACCATCTTAACTGTCGTAAGTCTATGTTAAGGGAGTTACGATCACCTTTGAGCTAAAATCACTTTGTGGAACTTGGTCCAGTGTGTACGAAACAAGCGTAGCGCTACGACTGTCGTAAGTCTATGTTAAGGGAGTTACGATCACCTTTGAGCTAAAATCACTTTGTGGAACTTGGTCCCCAGTGTGTACGAAACAAGCGTAGCGCTACGACTGTCGTAAGTCTATGTTAAGGGAGTTACGATCACCTTTGAGCTAAAATCACTTTGTGGAACTTGGTCCAGTGTGTACGAAACAAGCGTAGCGCTACGACTGTCGTAAGTCTATGTTAAGGGAGTTACGATCACCTTTGAGCTAAAATCACTTTGTGGAACTTGGTCCAGTGTGTACGAAACAAGCGTAGCGCTACGACTGTCGTAAGTCTATGTTAAGGGAGTTACGATCACCTTTGAGCTAAAATCACTTTGTGGAACTTGGTCCAGTGTGTACGAAACAAGCGTAGCGCTACCACTGTCGTAAGTCTATGTTAAGGGAGTTACGATCACCTTTGAGCTAAAAATCACTTTGTGGAACTTGGTCCAGTGTGTACGAAACAAGCGTAGCGCCACGACTGTCGTAAGTCTATGTTAAGGGAGTTACGATCACCTTTGAGCTAAAATCACCTTGTGGAACTTGGTCCAGTGTGTACGAAACAAGCGTAGCGCTACGACTGTCGTGAGTCTATGTTAAGGGAGTTACGATCACCTTTGAAATAAAATCACCTTTGTGGAACTTGGCCCAGTGTGTACGAAACAAGCGTCGCACTGCGACTGTCGTAAGTCTATGTTAAGGAGTAACGATCACCTTTGAGCTAAAATCACCTTGTGGAACTTGGTCCAGTGTGTACGAAACAAGCGTCGCCCTACGACTGTCGTAAGTCTATGTTAAGGGAGTTACGATCACCTTTGAGCTAAAATCACCTTGTGGAACTTGGTCCAGTGTGTACGAAACAAGCGTAGCGCTACGACTGTCGTAAGTCTATGTTAAGAGAGTTGCGATCACCTTTGAGCTAAAATCACCTTGTGGAACTTTGCCCAGTGTGTACGAAACCAGCGTAGCGCCAATGACTATCATAAGTCTATGTTAAGGGAGTTACGATCACCTTTGAGCTAAGATCGCTTTGTACATCAGCACCCAGAACCAGAAGTGTCTACACAATACCTTATAAACGTTTGACAGTTTCATGGAAAACTGGGCGAGGTCGGTTGAGGTTACTATTTTTCCAAAGGGACGTATCAAAGCCTTTTAATGTTTGCTCCTTGTTCCAAAGCTGTACTGAATGCCAAGTCCTTTAAAAGAGGAAAGTCTAGATAAGCGAACAGTGGACGCCAGTCTGTTATTTTTTTAAATTTTCATTTAAACTATTGCATAAATTATTACTTTAGAGACTTGTGTATGTCTAATAAGAAAGTGAAGCGAAGACCTACCAATCTGGAGATGATGGTGGTAAATATCAATGGTGTCTCTTATTTAGGCATGTCGCGGGAAACAGTTTGATGATGGTGCTGATGCTCTGGCTATAAAGGGGATGGGTCCGAGGATGAGGAAGAAGCCATGGACGAGGAGGATGAACCAGTGATCTTCAGGATACCGAGAGATGCTGATTTCCTCATTGCTTACGCTAGTGTCAGAGGTGAGTGGTCAAACACCCTGTACCACAACACTAAACATATGACGTTGTTATATATACATGTTTTGTTCAGAATATATTTCATGTTTAAACAGGACCGGTGAAGATCTTGCTTAGAATTGGTCTTCAGTAACCCATGCTTGTCGTAAGAGGCGACTAACGGGATCGGGTGGTCAGGCTTGCTGACTTGGTTGACTCATGTCATCCCCAACTGCGCAGATCGATGTTCATGCTGTTGATCACTGGATTGTCTGGTCCAGACTCGATTATTTACAGACCACCGCCATATAGCTGGAATATTGCTGAATGCGGCGTAAAACTAAAGTCACTCACTCATACTTAAACAGGGGCGGTGGGTCATCCTAGTGGTTAAAGCTTTCGCTCGTCATGCGAAAGCCCGGGTTCGATTCCCCACATGGGTACAATGTGTGAAGCCCATTTCTGGTGTCCCCGGCCGTGATATTGCTGGAATATTGCTAAAAGCGGCGTAACACCGTACTCACTCATACTTAAACACACAAACGAAATTATACTGGTATCAGAAATACAAACACAGCTGGGTCGAAGTTAAAGGACTTCGTCGTCACCACAACACAAGTCTGTACAATACAAGTACAAGAAATACGCAGGTAACAAGCTCTTCGAGATATCAAAGTTAAACGGATGTACGGCAGTACATCTTAATGCTAATAGGGCTTTAATTTGCAAGGAGGTAAAGGCTGTCACTGAATGAATCTATACAATGTATGTCAGAGGTTTGGAATCATGACTAAAACAGCATTATAGCATGAATATCCAGCATTATAATCTAAACAAGGTGTCATACAGTGTCAGGGTCGTGTGTATTACATACGAATATCCAGTATTATAATCTATACAAGGTGTCATAAGCTGTCAGGGTCCAGTGTGTAACATACGAATATCCAGCATTATAATCTATACAAGGTGTCATAAGCTGTCAGGATCCAGTGTGTAGCATACGAATATCAAGCATCATAATCTATACAAGGTGTCATAACAGGGTCGTCATACAAATATCGTGTCATAAGCATACGATAGTGTATATCCAGTATTATAGTCTATACAAGGTGTCATAAGGTATCAGGATAGTGTGTACATACGAATATCCAGCATTATAATCTATACAAGGTGTCATAAGCTGTCAGGGTCCAGTGTGTAACATACGAATATCCAGCATTATAATCTATACACGGTGTCATAAGGTGACAGGGTCGTGTGTGTAACATACGAATATCTAGTACTATAGTCTATACAAGATGTCATAAGGTGTCAGGATAGTGTGTATTACATACGAATATCCAGTGTTATAATCTATACAAGGTGTCAGGGTCGTGTGTGTAACATACGAATATCCAACAACATAGATACAAGGTGTCAAATGGGGCGGTGGGGTAGCTTAGTGGTTAAAGCGTTGGCTCACGCCGAAGACCCAGGCTCGAATCCCCACATGGGTACACATTGTGTGAAGCCCATTTTCTGGTGTCCCCTGCCGTGATGTTGCTGGAATATTGCTAAAAGCGGCGTAAAACCAAACTCAGTCAGTCAGTCAGACAAGGTGTCAAAAGGTGTCAGAGTCGTGTTTATAACATACAACATAGAAATACAAGGTGTCATAAGGTGTCAGGGTCATCGCTGTAACTGACCAATATCTATGATTACTATCTACACAAGGTTTCAGGACCATGTCTTTAGTATGCCAATATTCCGTATTAAAGATCTGAAATGTGCTAATGTATCATTCAGGTTCTCGGTCTATAAATGTGTTATATTCGTATCCGTATATTCACAGGATTTTTTGCATGGCGGAATGAAAATAATGGCGCCTGGTTCATACAGGCGTTGTGCAAGGTTCTAGAGGAGCACGGCAAGACCCTTGACCTGATGACCATGATGACCCGTGTCAATCACACAGTGGCCTTCGATTATACTTCTAAGGGCAGAATTAAGGAGAAGAAACAGATTCCTTTGTATAACGTCCATGTTGACCAAGGATGTCTACTTTCGGAAGACATGAACAAGGGAAAACGTTATACTCCATCGCCATGTGTTGATGGGATAACTTTGTACCAGGTGCCCTTTTATATTGTTGAAATAAACATTTATATCACCGATGTAAACCATTTTTTAGCCAGCAGCAGTCAGCACAATATCCATATTAATTCCGTGAATGTGTGGGTATAACCCTTTGGTTATAGATAAGTCAGGTGCGTTCATGCCCAGTTATAACTTGTATAACAGCGCCAAAATTACTATAATTTTCTTCAAGTTTTAATCAATTTTAAACATGTTCTTTTACGTATAAGACAAAATATTATGGATGTCAACTTCGTCTTTATTGTATACACAACGATTCTGGGCTATTGCTTGCCCCTTCGTCAGGTGAATGACCCTTAGTAAGGGTTGTGCCTCTCAAGAACCTCATGTTCGTTTACATTCTCAATCCAGTTAACTCACATAGTTTTCAGGACCTGCATCATTATTCTCAGCCCTATAACAGTCAAGCTGTAGCAACCGGTCAGTCGACTCCGGTATGTGATAACATGTTAGGCCACTACCCTGTGTCTTCCGAAACACTGGTCACTTATCGTTGCAGGGGCCGCCATATAGCTGGAATATTGCTGAGTGCGGCGTAAAACTAAACTGACTAAAACTATCGTTGCAGGGGCACTGACAATCTGGACACGGTTGACCAACCTAAAATAATTAACATAAGAAACTAACACGAACTGAAACATTCCTACTGTATTCATGTTCTCCAGTTAGCTAACTTTCACTGTTACTGCTGCTTTGCCTGAGATCCTCTTTGTTTGTGTTTGAAGGTAAGTCACTTTTACTTGTTACCTTGTCATTTGGTTAAATTGGCTTAAAGTCCTTCTAACCTTGCTACTCTACTTGAACAATTAAATCATCCTACTTTAATCTAAAATGCTGTTCGAATTTACCGTTCGGTCGCTATGTGTTAATTTCATGTAGCTTAAAAATACTGAGTAAAACTGAAAACTTGACACTTGGGATTTTGGACTAGGTTTTTAATATTAGGTTTAAGACAATAGTTGTAGTTGTATACTGTGCGCAGAACATCTGGACATCAAAGGAAAACAAAAAACAAGTCTCGTCGAAACTCTTTAACAACGATAACGTTCATGATGTCAAGGTACCCTCCAAAATGAAGTTCACAGCGTGGAGAACAATTCGATTGAGGTCTTTAGTAAGGGTTGTGGCCTCCTCTAGCGTCTCCTACAGCCAGACAACGTCTCCTCGTGGATCTTAGAACGTTAGTAAACACACCCCGAGGAAGACGTTGCCATTGTTCAACAAGGTGACGTTGAAGATCTAGCAACGTCTTTGGTGGATTGTCTTGCTGACGAGCACGTCGATCCAGTTCGTCCCAGATGTGTTGGATAGGATTGAAGTCGGGGCTACACGACAGCCAATCCAGAACTTGAATACCGGGATTTCGTAGAAAATTCTGTGTAAGAACTGACGTATGCGGTCTAGCTGTGTGTTGATGGAACGTCAGTCCAGAGACATGTCTCTGTGTTAATGGAAGCAGGACAGATTGCAAAACCTGATCCCTTTACTGGGTAGCATTTAAGTTCCCTCGAATGACAACAAGGGGACAACGTCAGTGTGCGCAAAATACTTCCCATACCATCACGCTGTCCCCACCAAATCCGCCCACTTCACGGACGCAGACTTGAGCGTGACGTTCACCTCGCCTGCAGTACACTCGGGCCCTGTCGTTGGTTAATCTCAGTGTGAATCAGTGAAGACAACCGCATTCCATTGCCTTTGTTGGAACCTTATGTCTTGTGGCCCACACCAGTCGGTTGCGATGATGAAGAGGCGTTAAAATTGGTCCAAGCGATTTCGGACAGTTTGCGCAGTTATCCTTCCACCAAACATCTCTCTACTTGAAGATGACGTTATCGTATTGCTTGATCTTCCCACATGTGACGCTTCCGGCCTCGGGCGGTCGGCAACAGTTCCTGTTTGATGCACTCTCAAGATTAAAAATAGTTTGTCGTGAGTAATTAAAGGCTCTTGCAACAGTGACCACAGACCGACCAGCATCAAACCTCCACATGTCGTTCTTGATTTTGAAGGCGTGGCATTTCCAAACAAAGATTAAAATGAAAACTTTAATGTCGAAATTTATCAAATAGGTTATGAATAATTGAGAATCCCAGATAGGAAAACAGTAGTTTCATAGGCCACCATTAATGTACCAGACGCCTAAATATTTCAGTTGAAATACAACGTTTGCTTTTCTTACTGGAGCTTATAGGAAATGCCAGCGTGACGTCATTGTTTTGATCACGTGGCCTACCCTATAACTTCCGGTAGGCAGAAAGGTGTCAAAATAACAATAAATGCCCAACGTGTATAACATTTACAACTTGTTACAAGTATCTGTATTTTTATCTCTGTCGTCTCTCTTGTCATATTGTTTTGTAATTTCAATGCGAATATTTTCTGCACCAATGTATCTATTAACAAATGACAAGGTAACAAGTAAAAGTGACTTACCTTCAAACACAAACAGAGAGGATCTCAGGCAAAGCAGCAGTAACAGTGGCGAGCTACCCCTGCATATATACCCGAGACCTCATGTCCGAATTTGAAAGCAAGTGCCCGCTGGTCATATTGGGTAAGTTTGATAATGCTGGGTAGCCGAAGCAAGTGAAAGTTAGCTAACTGGAGAACATGAATACTGTAGGAATGTTTCAGTTCGTGTTAGTTTCTTATGTTAATTATTTTAGGTTGGTCAACCGTGTCCAGATTGTCAGTGCCCGTTCAACGATAGTTTTAATGAGTTTAGTTTAATGAGTTACGCCGCACTCAGCAATATTCCAGCTATATGGCGGCCCCTGCAACGATAAGTGACCAGTGTTTCGGAAGACACAGGGCAGTGGCCTAACATGTTATCACATACCGGAGTCGACTGACCGGTTGCTACAGCTTGACTGTTATAGGGCTGAGAATAATGATGCAGGTCCTGAAAACTATGTGACTTAAATGGATTGAGAATGTAAACGAACATGAGGTTCTTGAGAGGCACAACCCTAACTAAGCGTCATTCACCTGACGAAGGGGCAAGCAATAGCCCAGAATCGTTGTGTATACAATAAAGAAGAAGTTGACATCCATAATATTTTGTCTTATACGTAAAAGAACATGTTTAAAATTGATTAAAACTTGAAGAAGGGGCGGTGGGGTAGCCTTGTGGTTAAAGCGTTGGCTCGTCACGCCGAAGACCCGGGTTGATTCCCCACATGGGCACAATGTGTTAAGCCCATTTCTGGTGTCTCCCGCCGTGATGTTGCTGGAATATTGCTAAAAGCGGCGTAAAACTAAACTCAGTTAGTCAGTCTTATGGCCGGCAGCTGAATGTATTTATTAAAGATAACCAGTCTGTGACCGTATATGTTGAGAATGCAAAAAACTTTCTATAGCAAAATGCGCACAGACGTGGCAATGCCTTTCAAATATGTTATCAATTAATGTGTCTGCATGAACTTGAAGCGCCGGTCGATTTAGTGTTTTATGTTGTAGAGTAGTCATAAAGTGTCAGGCATTTCAGTAACTATGTAACAAGTACAATATTGCAAATTACCTACATTTCCTTTATAAACACCTTTCTCTCATATAGGCCTGTATGTTATTCACTTTGTAAACTTGGATTAATGTTATAATGTTTAAGTGTCATTATTTTGAAGCATCTTCGAGTTATCTTGTTTTATCTGAAAGTACTACGGTAAAAAGGTTTATTTCTTAAAGTTCATTACAAAGCCCTCAATATTTAATATGTATAATTTAATCCAGACCAAAAATATATCCGTCACGCCCGGCTTTGGTATCCTTACCATAGTTACATGAATGTCAGAATTAGGTGAGAGTAAGAATAGGGGGAAACAATCATTACTTCGCTGCATTATCCCATCATAATGTCCGGCGTTACCATATATAATATAATGTAATATGGATTCATTCAGCAAGAAGAGTATTTCAGAGTGATCATTATACTATGTTATAAATATAATCTGTGAAGGAAGTATGGTACTGAAAGCATCTCCTGAATTATGATGTCATTACGAATATATTCTACGAATACGTTATATGTGCAGAATGTTTTACATGATCAATGTATGCAGGTAAACATTACATCGTAAGATGTTTTACATAATTCATATTATAATATTACATGGTTTTAACAATGTATTATGGGTTTGACCGTTGAAAACGCTATCTAGTAAATTTAATGTATGCTCGTTGCTTTCATCTATACTTAATAAAGATTCCTGCTTTGTCTGAGATCCAGTCTGTTTGTGTTTGAAGTGTGAAGATCCCTGAGCTCGTTCCCAGAAAATAGGCAGACATAGGCCGAATAGACAGAAAACAGTTCCCACAACATGACTGTTTCACGTGAATTAATGTAAGCTGTTTGCTGGGTACCTCCTCTATATGTGAGATATGCATGTGCTAATGAAAGCTGTTTGCAATGTACCTTCTTTATATGTGAGATATGTATGTGTTAACGTAAGCTGTTTGCTAGGTATCTCCTCTATATGTGATATATGTATGTGTTAATGTAAGCTGTTTGCTAGGTACCTCCTCTATATGTGAGATATGTATGTGTTAATGTAAGCTGTTTACCTCCTCTATATGTGATATATGTATGTGTTAATGTAAGCTGTTTGCTAGGTACCTTCTCTATATGTGCGATATGTATGTGCTAATGTAAGCTGTTTGCAAGGTACCTTCTTTATATGTGAGATATGTATGTGTTAACGTAAGCTGTTTGCTAGGTATCTCCTCTATATGTGATATATGTATGTGTTAATGTAAGCTGTTTGCTAGGTACCTCCTCTATATGTGAGATATGCATGTGCTATTGTAAGCTGTTTGCAAGGTACCTTCTCCATATGTGCGATATATATGTGCTAATGTAAGCTGTTTGCTAGGTACCTCCTCTATATGTGCGATATGTATGTGTTAATGTAAGCTGTTTGCTAGGTAATGCATGCTGGGTAATGTGAAGTGTGGACGTGTTCAAGTCAGCTCCCGATATGGGTATAAGTTTAGAGCAATATAGAGCTACAATCGGCTCGTTTTCACAACCCAGCAGGACCAAACAATCAACTCATGGATTGTGTGTCTCAAAAAAGTATGTATCCTTTACTTTGAGGCTTATTCTAGCGATATCGATGTTGCTAACTCTGAGTGGTGACGTGGAGTGTAACCCCGGCCCCAAGTCAACGAGGCAGTCAACTCTCTCACAGGAGGATACAGGGGCTGTGGGGCTCACCAGCAAATACTCAACAGATGATCTAATGGACGCTATTATCGGGTTAAAGTCTGATGTGAAAACTGCAAACGACCGCCTCACTCAACTTGACACGAAAGTGGACAAAATGGCGGCTCAGGTGAGAGAACAACGAGACGATATAAATAAGTTGAGAGAAGAAAACATAAGGATGACTGAACAGCTACGCGTTATGAAAGATAGACTTGATGATTATGAATCCAGGTCTAGGCGCAATAATCTGCTTTTTCATGGCATAGAAAGTGAAAACAACGAAACTTCGGAGAAGAAAGTTCGTGAGTTTATTCGAGACACTCTTGACATCCCCCAAGCAGACGATATTCTTATTACGAGGGCCCATCGACTCCGGAACGGAAAACGTAATCCCCCAATAATTGCGAATTTCGTTCTCACCAACGACAGAAACGACATCCTGTTCACTGCGAAAAGGAAACTAAAAGACAGAGAAGATACAACACACCGAGTCACCGAGGATCTCACACAGCGAGTGCGGGAAGCACGCAGATCTTTAGCTCCTTTATACTCGGATGCCCTCAAAGCAGGTCTAAAACCGAAGATACGGCACGACAAGCTAATCGTCGATGGAAAAGTGTACATTCATGACCGGGAAAACAACGTAAATAAGTGGATTTCGGGTGGAAAACGCCAACCACAAGTCACAACACAATCACACGACCA